CTTAAGTAGTAGAAATCCCAAATGTCCAATTTAAAAAAAAAAAAAAAATTCTACTGAAAAGCAGTGTGAAGAGCTGGAGCTGGGTTTTTCTTTTCTGCTTATTGTTTCTGAGCATTTAGGATGCATTCAGGTCACCTCTTGCCAAACATAGGCCACATCACTCAGTCACGTAGCCAAGAAAACTGTTTAAAAGTCCAGACTCCTGGGTTTTCATGAAATCTCACCATTCCAGCTGCTGAGATTTAAGAAAGCAAAAGACTTCAGAGCTCACAACACGTTTTCAGAGATTGGTAAAATTGTGCTAGCACTAACAAACACATTTCCCAATAGCAATCTTCATAGAAATCAAGGACGTCTCCAGGTAACAGTCACAGTCTCTCTGCATCCCATTGTTTGTAAGATAACTGTGAATAATGAGTGACCTTGAATCTGTCTGCATTAACAGAGACCAGAGATTCTTTTTACACCTTCTGGTGCTACAAACAGAAAAGGTAAATACACTGGTCTTTCTGAGCTCCAAAATATCAAATCCAGAAAGAAACTCCACTATTTTGTTTAACTGATGGATATGACTCAATATAGATTTTATTAAGTGATTGGATTTGCATTAGGTCCTGACGCTTGTCAGATCTGTGTTGAAAAAACATTAGAAAAGCGTTTCACAGATGAGGGATCTTAGCTGCAGGTGTCCTCATGTGAAAATCTGTTAGCAATGTTTCCAGCAAACATAAATGAACAGCAGGAAAAGCTCAGCTAGTTCATTTACCGATATAAGTGAAGTTTCAGACAACAAATTTTAGGAGCCTAACAGAACATGCCATATTGATCTTCATGGTCTGTGGAGGCTTCCTTGCAAAGTTATGTATACTCTTTAATTCATGCAGACTAATTGCAAATCTTACTACCAGCCAATTTTATGGCATGAAGGAAAGTTTAGCTACTTTTGTTTCAATATTTGGGATCAAGTGATTCAGATTGACTGGTTATATAATATATAAATCAGAAAATTCTCAACAAAACCTTAGTGAAACAACAGAGCCAATGGCTACAACCAGTCTATAATTCACTTTAATGCTCAGCAAGAAACACCTTGGAGATAATGGAGGGGAATGAGATACACGCTGACCTACAAGTAGTAAGACAGCTTCTTTGCCTGACCAATGTTTCATACCATTTAGCTGAGCAAGATTTGGATATTCTTTACTAATGTCATGAACGCTGTCTGCTACACAGCATTAGCTTATTTGTTTTTCAACTGAAAAAAACAAAATCAAGATTTTTAGAGTGACAGAAATACCAGGGTTCCCACCCTGACTTACATATAAAATACCAATGAACAGATAACCTTCCTGATTTTCATCATGCTTACTAAAGCACTGTGAAACCACTGCGAGAAAGATACTAGCAAGGATGTCAAAGTATAATACTTAAAGTAGCTATTGATGTTTTCTTCTCCAGAAAAGAAACATGAAACCAAGAGAACACCACAGCTGGTTAATTCAACATCCAAGTCAGCTGTTATCAAAGGTAACCCTCAGTCATTGACTTCAGTGACTAACTCAATCATATTCAGTCACATTTCAAAAATGCCCCTTAGTTCTGAAAATTTCATTTTTGACAGTGTATAAGACCCAGACTGTGCTTAATCTTACAGCTATAATTGATTTCAATTGGAAGTTCCATTTCCTACAAAACAGATTAATGAAGTCATAAACTTTAATACCAGAAAGGGCTGTTATGGTAATCCAGTTGGACTACTTAGAATTCTGAGTGAACATCAATAAACATTTCCTGCCTGTAACTTACAGCTGAGCTAACGCATATCCACAGGAAGGCTTTCAGTCAGTCTTGAAGACTTGTGTGACAGTGAACCTATCGCACCCTAGATAAAGTGCTTCACAGTTAGTTACCTCAGATTTCAGTTCTTTTTTTTTTTTTTTTTCACTTCAGCTTCTAACCATTATATTTCATATGACTTTATCTGTTAAACCATCCTTTCTACCCAGGAATCATGATTAGCCAAGCTGAGCTTATATGCAGTAAGGCTTGATATAAGCACTTTGCTGTCAGAGAAGAAACCCACACAGAATTTGAGAGGGAAATGTAACGCATGTACACAATCCTGATGTACATGGTCCTGATGAGCTGGTGGGTCAAGAGGTCCCTGAGGAGCTGGGGATCCTGGGGCAAGCAGGCAGGGAGAGGCAAGGTCCTCGGCGCAGGCAGAGATTTCCGGTGGCAGGCTTGCAGCTCTGGCAGTCCCACACAGGCGTCGCAACTGCAGGTCCCCGGGATGATGGTTTCCCCAAATTCAGAAATTTTTCCTGCTATAAGAGGATTTCTGAACAGCCAGCAGCCTTTGCTCTCCACCCCCTAAGCCATACGCATACCTTGTGATAGAGGAGAGCATTGCTTTCTCAGTTCTCAGCAAATGCCTCCCCCTGTCACTTGGTTGTTTTTCTCTAGCTCAGATGCCGCTTTCCTTTGGTGTGCTTAAAGAAGCCATCTTCACAGCTTGCGCTGTTGTGTTTTTTTTCAACCAGTAATTGGCCATCAGTTGTTTATAATGTTGGGTCCTCTGTTTTCAACGATATTTTCAAGGCCTTTGCTCTTATCCCACGTTAAATTCCAGTTCGTAATAGCTGTCTGGCACAAAGCTCCAGTTCACAAGGCTGGTTCTCACCACAGGTTGGTAACAAGCCCTGCCGGCCAGGACTGGAGCCTTGTGAAGCTGGCACTGAGCCTGTGGCCTGCTGCTAGCAAGGTTAGGGCTCTTCTGAACAGCTTTCGTTTGTTCTGGGTTTCACAGCAGCCGAGGAAACTCATCTGTAGCTGGCTGTGCAGTGTGACCTCCCCAGCTTTCATCATAACACTGTTCTCTAAACTGTACTCCCTCATACTTAGTGTGCCCTAAAATCTGCACTCCTGCGTAACTTTTGAGTTCAACTGTATTAAGATATGTATTGTTCAAATGGGGGTAGTGTATGCTAAAATCAGTTTAATCAAGCTACCTTCATCATCACTTAGCACTTCTCATTTGGTCACCTGAGGTATTTATTTGGTCACTGGTATTCTCGGATTACAGCTACAGATATGGCAGAAGTCTGGACTAAAACCAGTAGTCACTGCAGGAACATCACTGGATGCATCCCCTTTGACTGGGGATAGTTGCACTGGAGGAAAGGAGCCTCTCTGCTACCTTTTTTTTTCTGGAAGATTTAAGCCTGTAGTCCCTCAAAACACTGGAGAGCTCAGCCTGCCTAAAGGATGGATTACAGTGTCTCGTTATGGTAAAAAGATAATGTTTTTTTTCTTTGTTTTACAAAGTTCTAAAAGAATTAAAGTGCAGAAGGTATAAACCCGTACTTACTATTTTTAAATATACATCATTTTTAAGAACATGCATTAGATGTCAGCATATTCATATATACATATATATGTGGACAAATATATGTCATTGACAAACTGATACAGAACACATATATACATTAGTCAAGTCAAATCTAACCTGGATTTGTCCTTATTCTGGATTTGCTGGTGGTATACAGAAATAGTTACAGGGCCACCCTAGTAATTTCTGGTGCTAACTTATTTTCCTAGCTAAGAGCCAATGGTCACCCTCTCTTTCTGGATGAGACTTTTTTTTTTTTTTTTCCTAGCTCATCTGTGATCTGTTTTATTCTAACAGGCTGGAAAAAGCAGGTGGATGTAAGGGGAAGATGTATTTCCAGGTATTCCTACACAAATCTGAAAATTATTTACATTTCAACAGAACTGTAAAGGAGATCTAAAAACTGAGTGGTTCTACACAGCAAGAGTTCGATCCATCATCTTGTAATTCTGCTTTAAATCCATTTCCTTTCTTTGCATTTAACAGCATACTTCATAAAATCATTTAAGTTGGAAAAGACTTTTAAGATCATCGAGTCCAACCATTAACGTAATGCTGCCAAGTCAGCACTAAACCATGACCCTAAGCACCACATCTATGCGTATGTTCAGGGAGGTATTCTTATAGAGGTTCTGTTGATAAAAATGTAGATAGCAGTGCCGTAACAGTTAAAACACATACTGTTTCCGTGATCAAAGTTTTGGCTCAGTAATTTTAAACCCAATTAAAATATTACAGTTTATAGATTCTATTTTGTCCAGATGAACTGAATGTTCCACAAAATAATGTTGGTGACTGCACTGAACAGAAAAGCATCTCACTCCACACCAACACTCAAGAAGAATTCGCAGTTCCCACTTTGGTGATTTGACCCCAACCTCGAATTTTGGATTTTAGTGTAATAAAAATGTAACACTTTATGAGACATTTCACAATTGTGAGGAGTCACAAATCAGGAACATCACAACTTGGAAAATCGGTGGTCCTTCTGGGCATTTTTAAAATAACTTCAGGTAAAATACGTTCACACATAGGGCACTGTGTATTTTGCACAGAAGTGGAAAAGTTATTTTTTTTTTCCTCAACGAGATGAATCACGTAAAAACCCTAACCAATTCCTTCCTTACCTCTAGCCTTCCTCTTTAATAGGATTTACCTCTAGTTGTGCTAAGCGTACCATTTTTTCCTAGTGAAGGCACGTCCACAAGAAATCCTTCAGTGGTCAGGAGATGAAGTAGCTCCGCAGTTATTTTTGTCAGGGAATAGAAATGGCGGGCGGGGGTGGGTGGGTGGGTGTGTGTGGGGGGGTCGCTTTCCCTGTAAAAACCACCCTTCCTTCCCCCGCTGTCCTCACGCCCTCAGAACCCGAAAACACAAGAAACGCTCCCCTTCCCTGCTACGACCCGAGCCGAGCAACGTGCGGGCTGAGGAGCGGGGGCGGCGGGGCGCTGAAGGCGGCCCCAGCAGAGCGGGAAGGCGGCAGCAACGCGGAGCCCACCGGTGTCGGGGGCGGCCCCCGGAGCGGCCCCGTGGGGCGGGGAAGCCGCAGACAAGCCCAGGCGGGCCGGGCCGGGCCGGGCCGCTCGCCCCCCTCACGGCCGCCGCGGCTGGGCGGGGCGGCGCTGCCGGAAGCGCGGCGAGCTCCCGCCTTTGCGCCGGGGTTCGGGGGTCAGGCGCGGCGCCGCCGCCGCCACCGCCGGGGTCCGGCGGGCGCCCATGGAGGGCTCCGGGGACGAAGAGCCGGGGGCCGTCGGGCCGCTGCAGCAGCTGGTGAAGAAGCAGCGCAAGGAGAAGCGGGAGCTGCAGGGTGAGGGGTGGTGCCGCCGAGGCTGGGGAGCGGGGGAGGGGAGAGCGGCTCCCTCAGGCGCCCGCCTGGGCGGGCCCGGGCCGGCGGCCCGCTCGCTGCCCGCCCCTCAGGGACGCTCCGCGGAGGGAGCTCGGAAGCGGGTGGGCGCGTTCGGCACCGCGGGGCTTCGGCAGCGCGGGGGAGCAGCCCTGGCGGTGCCCTCGGCGGGGGAAGGGGACGGCGGCGATGGAAGCGCCGCGTCCTGTCAGAGGCGTCAGGGCCGGGCTTTGCTGCTCGGCGGGGTTCTGGGCGTGCAGGCGGCCCGCCGCACTGTCGTCTTGGGAGCCTGACAGCGCCTGAGAGCCGTAACAGAACGGTAGACAGTTAACATTGTGCTAACGTTTTGCTGCTTTGCTTTTAAGTTAAAGGAGGTGTGTTTCTGTAAGGCGTTTTACTTGAAAAGCTTGCATAAGGGTCCTTGCTGCCCAGGCAGCTACGTTCAAAGCGCAGTTGATTTGAAATGAACTTTTACGTTATGTCCAGCCACAGTAAAGTATCTATAGTAGCAGATCTCTGTGGTCTTACGGTGCTGCCCATGAACTGATCATGAGCCACATTTTACCCATCCTATTACAGTAAGTTAGCTGGATTCAGTTGAGTATTATAGTTGATGATAACCTTTTTGTTAAGCCTTTCTCATTGCTGTTATATTGATACAGTCTTTTCCTTGTTTGTCTCTTTTGGTATGTAATGAAATAGGCCCATCTGCAGCCTTTTATCAGTTAAAGGGTTAAAGAAGAGGAGAGACACTGTTGGGCTGCATATTGTCATTAAATCTATAGAAACTTACTGTTTTGAGATGCCTTTTCCTCCCTCAAACTTAGTTGAAATTGAAAAGAGGGGTAGGAATCAAGCATTGAGGTGAGGTGGCTGGAGCACATGGCACATTGACTGGGAGAGGCTGAAGAACAGAGGGGTTTTCCACCTAGAGAAGGTGATAAGGAGGTATCTAATTGTAGTCTTTTACTACCTAAAGGTGGGAGGGGTATACAGAAGAGAGAGCCCTACTCTTCCTAGTTAGGAGAGGCCGGTGACCTATAGGCACACATTTTTGTACTTGAAAAATACATTCCTGATAGGTGCAGTGATTAACTGACAGATAGCAAAACAGTTTGTTTGTAAGAATTAACTTTGTGGGTCTCAGCCCCTGAAAATCCAGCATCTCCTCTAGTTGATCCTTGTCTCTGTCACCCCCATATACTCTCCTTGTGTATTTCCGTGTGCCTCTTGAAGTGCCAGATTTCTTTCTTTTGTTTATGTTACGTTAATTTTTATGAACAAAATTGCTTTTCTGTTAAACTCAGCTGATTCATCAGTGAGGCCAAATGCTTAACATAAATCTTTCAGTGAGCATTCTTACTGCCTCCATTTTAAGGGTTTCATTATCATCGCCATTATCTTCAGCTCAATTGTGTCAGGGGTGAAGGACAGGAAAATGTACAGGTGATGAATAGTGAGCAAGGTGCTAAATAATTAGTGCTGTAACTCTAAAGCAGTGAATACAGAAGTGAGGAGAGCTAGCAGGGAGTGTGTGTGTGTAAGAGCACAGGCTGTGGAAGCTGTGCTTAATCGGCCTGGAGAGGGAGAGGAGGCTACTGGAGATCTGTTTGTAATTTCCACTGCATAATGGATGGAGCCAGACTCTTCAAAGTAAAGTGTAGAGAATGGACTAGAGGCAATGGCTGAAAGTGGTAACAAGGAAAAAACCTCATGAGAGGGAAAAGGGAAGATATTTTCATAACAAGAATAGTTAAACATTGGAAAAAGAATGCCCAGAAATGTTGCAGAATGTCCATCTCTGGAGACGTTGCACAGTCATCTGAATAAATTCCAGATCAATCTGAATTACTGTAACCTGATGTAGCTTTGAATTCAGCCCCTTTTTGAGCAGGAGGTTGGAATAGATGACCTCTGGACATCCTTTCTAACCAAACTATCTTATGATTTGAGAAATGGAGCCTAAAAGTACCTATGGAATTTAAGCAAGTTGAGGATTTTTTTTTCCTTCTTAAATACCCATTTTACTTTTAGAAACTTTATTTTAAGGACAGATGGACTCTGCTTTTACTTACAATCTGCTGCTTCTGTGATTAAAAACTTACACATCTTTCCTGTGACAGGATTTGAGATCTCAATGCCCAGGTAATCTTTTTGTAGGCAACAGGCTGAGGTCTGCTGTGTTGATGAAGTTCGTTAAGTAGTTATAATAGTAACCTGGTGCAAGCTTATATCTTTGTCAGATATGATGTTTGCATCTTTTAAGACAAATATAATTGCTTTAAAATGTGTTGATCATAAAGTCTCATAGCTAAACTGTTAAATATCAACATATCAGGAAGTTTTGTATTTTTTTTTCTACATGACTTCCAGTTTTCTGCAATGACTGTGGAATATCTATATTTAGAGGTAATGTTTTGTTACACTACTTCTCTAACAGCAAAAATTCAAGGCATGAAAAATGCTGTTCCCAAGAATGATAAAAAGCGACGAAAACAGCTGGCTGATGAAGTTGCCAAACTAGAGGCAGAACTTGACCAGAAGCACAAGGAGGAATTAAAGCAGCTGAAGGAAGCTTCACCAGAGCAGAATAAGGTAGGTGCCTTAATTTAGCTGAAGTTATACAGATACAATTTGTGTCAGGGCTTCTTAAACTTTTAAAAATTATAATGAAGTAAGACTTTAAAGTATTTCTTCTTTTCCTCACGTTATTAGTAACTTCATCTTGGGAAAGATTCAGCTGTTATGGTGGGTGGGCGTTGCTAGAAGGGGCATTTAGCACTGAGGTTTTGTTGTTGAGTTGTTGAGTATTATTTGTTTTTCCTTTTAAGGCTATGTTTAGTAGATCATTTTAAACTTTTTTGAAGTTCCTGTTATTTTGCCACTGTCTTATGTAGACTACTAAGGTATTGTTGGCCTTCAGTGGGCATTTGAATGATGCAGTGTGTTTTGTCTTGCAGTTCTGTCAACAATGTAACTGAGGGTTTTGTAAGAAGACACTTTCTGTAATGGTGAGATTGTCTTAAATGCTGCTGTTCTGCCATGCTGGCAGCACAGCTACATATTTAAATGCTTCCAGTTTGCTGTTTGATGGCAAACCACTTAATTTTTAGTAGAGGCTTAGAATTATTGAAGTTTAGCTGCAGGAAATATAATCACCTGAGTAAACTAGATACTATTAAATACTTGTGTGACATACAAAAATTCACCTATGTTTTAGCACTTAATAAATAGAGTGTTCAAAACTCCTCTCATAGTGAATTTGCAACCCATAGACTTAATTCTGTATATTCAGTACTAAAAAGAATTATATTTTTATCATGTGCCTGAATTTAAGGACCATTGGTGCAAGTAGGCCTGCTCATATACTTTCTCCTACCTAAATGGAAATAGAGCTTACAGCTAAATTGGTGCAATACAGTTACCTGTGAATGCTGCTAATGCTTCATGTTCATACATGTCCTTAAGTGTTTCCATAAGTGTGTGTCTTTTGGCTGTTTCAATCTTGAAAAGAAAGAAACAAAAACCTGTCTGTTTGGACTAGATGTTCTCTGATCAGTGACCTAACAAAGAGTTAAGCAGAATGTAATTGTATTTGAAAATCAAAAGGAAAACATTTCTGAATTACTTTTAGGGAAACAGACTTGATTTAGAAGCACCTGCTGAGAATCCTTGTGAAAAAAAGTTTTCAATTGTGAGTTATGACCCTGTAACAATCTGTAGTAGTTTTTAATCAGATGCTTAAGTAGATGATTAATACATAAGCATTAAACATATGCTTCTGTTTACCTGTATCTTAGATTAGTTTAAAGAGTTTGTTTTATCTTGCTAAGTGAGCTGTGAAAACATTACAGTGGAGGACCTTTCAAGCTGATATCCTTGCCCTGGACATACATTTGCCTGAGAGGATTTTGTTTTGAGATGTTTTGTTTTGAGACCCTTCTCAACCTTTTTATTCAGATTGGAACATATCAATGCTTCCACGGGTGAACATCTAGTTCATACCGTTAGGGGGTTAGCTTTTTCATTTTTCTTGGAAATTATCAGCTTCCTGTCTTTTCCAACTGCTGTATTGTGCTTTAGTGTGGAATGTGGAGCCTTCTGCTTAATTGTCACGGAACTTCATAATGGCTGTTTGGGTGCTTCAGTCGGTTGGTATTGTGATAAATAACAGAAGGATTTTGCTTTTGCTAAAAGTAATTAAAGAAATACTTTTATTGAGGTAGGCTAAAGGTGTCATTAAATTAGTATTGTTGAAATGATAAAAGTTAAGCAAGCCTTTTTTGATCACAAATGAGGCATATGGTTGGGCATTGTGGGGAGTTGGGCAAGCAAGAGGATGGGGGGGTGGTCTGTGGTTAGGTGTCATGTAAAGGGGAACCTGGCTGGGAGGGGCCGGGGAAGAATGGAAGCTAGCTGAAAAGGAAGCGGAGAACTCCTGATGAAGAGGAACCTGGACTTGGCTGCTGCCCCCCAACCCCCCCGGAGGGCAGTGGAAAAGTAGTGAGAGAGAAACAGCCTCGGAGAAACAAAGAAAAAGGAGCTGCGCAGGTGTAAAGAGGAGAAACCCCGCCACATTCGCTTAACCAGGGAAATCTCCTGGTTGCTCTATAAAAAGAAGCCCCTGCTGGGGCGGGGCGCGCGCCATTGCGCCCAGCGCCGTGTTCTTTGCTCCACTGACTTTGTCCCTGAATAAAACATATTTCTGATATACGTGAGCTTGTTTCTCACAGTATGATGAGGAAAACTTTTCCTTTCAGCCAGTAAGCAGTGTTCGCACTTGCGTGTGGAAGCTTGTAAGAGAACACATAGATTAAATTTGCAAAGTACAGTTCATAACTGTCTCCAGAAAAAATAACAAAATGCACGATAGTGGTTTGGGATGTGACATACTTTACTTTTGATTTGACAGGTTCTGTGCTATGCACAGATCTTTGTGGTTAAACTTCATAAATATACCCTGGAATTACCTAGGAACAGAACTTAAAACTGTTTCAGGAGATGCCCATCTCAGTTATCGTTTATACTAATAAGAACATTTAACTTTTTTTTTTCTTTTTTAGACAGATTGTGTAGCTGATGGGGTTGCAAATTTAGAGCTTGAAGGAGTAGAGCAACAGATTCAGCATCCTCGAATATCAAAAGCACAGAAGAGGCGGGTATGACTTAATATTTAAAAGTTTTACAAATATTTAATTGACATTATAGTCACTTAAACTTAACTGTAATAACCAAAATTAAACAATTTGCAGTGGTCATTACCGGGCTAATTCAGTATTGAAGCTGTACCTCCTGCGTGCCTCGTATATCTGTAAAGCTTCCACCCTAGAGATATGTAAGCATTTTATGAATAGTTGTACTCTTTTACCCTCAGCCATGAGCTGGGAATCAGACTATGTCAGGAGATGAGAGCCAGAAAAAAAAAATAGATGCAATGGAAATGATTTTAAAAGAATTTCACTTGAAACATTAATACAGAAATGAATTGAACTAAAATAATGTAAAATACTGCATGGAAAATAGACAAGTAGCAGAACTTTACACATAAACCAAAAGAACATGAATATTGACATCCTTGTAGATTTTTGAGTTGTTGAGAAACAGTACCTGGTGTCCAGGACATTAGGATTGTATGTTGTTAAGCTTCAGATGGAAAATTGCAATGGATTAACATTCTCATTGTACCTGCATGAATTTGGTTCAGGGCCAGAGAAGCACTGCTTTGTTGCAGAGTCCATCCTCTGTTACAGGATCGCTACTGCAGAGCTGCCTTGTAACAAATGTGATGAAACGATGTTCTTAATTCTTCACACTGTGTCTAGGACACTGAAAACTCTAGTGTAGTGTTCCTATGTCGTGGTCACCTAAGCCAGTCTGGTCGTGATTTGTGGTGAATTTAAAGTGTGAAAGTGAAAAGATCGTTCTCTGTACTGCTTCCTTTTATGTTTGCTCGTTTATTTTGACTCTTACTCCCTTGTTAACTTGTAACTTACAAAGGATTCTATAAAAGTCACTTTTATGTTACATATTATTACATCCCCTCTAGTAGTCTCTGTATGCATTCTTATCCATCCTTTAGGTCAGGAGCAGTCTTTTATGATGTAGAGCACCTAGCCTGAGGGAGTTTGTTTCATGACATAAGTGCCATTATGCAATCATATGCGTAAGTGGTAGATCTCACACTTATTATGAAAGAGCAATATTTTGTTATTTAATTAGAATTCCCATACACGAGTTGTTTGCCAATGTGATGAAATAGGTGATTCTGAAGAAATTACTATTATTAATAGCTTTTGCATGGTTGTTGTAAAGTGTTCTTTTGCATGTTGATATCATGAAGATTTCTTCTGTCACATAATTTCATGTATGGTGTTGGAGGCAGTTAGGATATATTGGTCACCATTTATTAACGTTTAGGCTTAGGGGGTCTCTAAGGTTTGGTAGAAGTACAGATTCGGGAGAATATTTCACAGATGTGAATGTACTGAGAAAACATTTGAAGAATTAGAAGCAAGCACTAAGTCGAGAAACGTACAGGCATCTTCTAAATTTTAACATTTGATGTCATTTTTATGTGTTTTTAATTGAAGGAAAAAAAAGCTGCCTTGGAGAAAGAAAGAGAAGAAAGGATAGCTGAAGCTGAGATAGAAAATTTAACAGGTGCTAGACATCTTGAAAGTCAGAAACTTGCTTCCCTCTTGGCAGCAAGGCAATTGGAGATTAAACAGATCCCTTCAGATGGCCACTGCATGTACAGAGCCATTGAAGATCAGCTCAAGGATTGCCAGAATTCCTGGACTGTTGCAACTCTGAGGAACCAAACAGCAAAGTATATGCAAAGTCACTTTGACGACTTCCTGCCTTTTCTTACAAACCCTGGTACTGGAGACATGTATAGCAAAGGTAAGACTTGTGGCATAAGAGATTTTAAAAACTGTTGTAACTATTTCTGATAATTCTCGATCTTCGTTACAGCTGAATTGGGACTAGCCCATTATGGTGCTTGTTCTTGAACTTTGTTACTTTGTTCTTTCAGCTGTTTTCTACAGAACACAGCATTATGATCCCCTGTGAAACCTGGTACACCTGAATCCTTGTAATTTACCTTTTTTTATTTTTTGTTAAGTATTCTAGCAAACATTATTCCCCATTAAAAAAAAAAAATCAGAACTTGCTGATTACTAGGTGGTAATAATGTTCTGGGATGTGATTTAAGTTGTATTATAAACAGCTTGTCTACCAGGTTAGGGATGACCTTTTGTCACCTTTTATATTGGTGTTTTCAATTTACATAAAGAAACTGTTAAAAATGAGTGTGAAATTCAAGCAAATATATTTTATAGTAGTTTGCATAGATTCTTTTTCTTATTCTGCTATTTATTTTCACTGTTTATTCTAGGTCTTTTGGAGCCCTTCCTTATAAACAGACTAAACTAAGAAATATAAAGTCATTTAGTGTGGAGCAATTGTGTAGGCTGAGTAAATATCGTTAAATGGAATTTATGTACTTATTTGAGCAGTACATGGTTTATTCATTTCTTACTGTGTGTCTGGAACACCACGGAAATTACTTTATACCTTTTCTTAACTTACTGCTACATTCATTTAATAGTTATTGCTGTGGATTTCATTTGGTGACAAGGGACTGTTGTGAAGTAGGAGGCATCTTTCCCATGCTGACAGAGATCATTGTCACAGGATAAATGTGCCCCAAGAGAAGACTGAATGAAGTTCTGCAAAGCAGCAGGGAGTTGTGGCTTTCCTTATGTCTCTTAAGACTGCTATAAGGGAAATGTATGAAAAACAATTCTGAGCAGGCTTCAGAAAATCTGTTTTTTCTTTATCAGAAGCTATTCATAAGGTTCAGGAGCCTGAAAGGTTGTAATTTATATATTGGAAGGATATGATCTGCAAAAGGTTTATTTAACTGTTATCTAAGGAACTCTTAGGAATAAATACTTCAGAGGTTAAAACCAAGGCAGGTAATTTGGAAATAAATTAAAAACAAACAACAGTTGAACTACATAAAGTTACAAGATTTTAAAAATATAACTGACACCTAGCTAATGTAAGAACTAAGCATACTACTTGCTATCACGTTCTTTTCTAGAGTTTTGAAATGACATCCTCTGAAACTTAACAGGAAGAAAACTATGTAATTTCATACTTGTTGTTAACAGTTCTCTGAATAGAAAGTTTAAAATATAAACCTGTACTTCTTTTTATTGCCATACTTGGTTTTATTGCTGTCTGTGGTCTTAATTTTCTTTCTAAAACGGTTATGGGTTTGGTTTTTTGGCCTCTGGTGTTTTTCTTTTCCTTTCCTTCTCTTCAGTGAGCATACATATTTTCCTGTATATTGTGTTTGGACTTTTCAGATTCTAGTTCTTCAGTGTGCAATCAGGAATTTTCTTATTGCTTATTCTCAGAGAATTTTCTTTGCTTATTCTCAGAGAAGTACTAAAAGTTGTCTTTTCTTTCCCCACAGAGGAATTTGAAAAATACTGTGATGATATAGCAAATACAGCTGCATGGGGTGGTCAGCTGGAAGTAAGTGTTGTATTGATAATTTTTATTTCTGAAATGGGTGAATAAACCTTCAAAAAAGGGCTTCTTTAGAAAGAATACCTGAAGTCATAAGATAACATAGTCATAAATAGTTTATCAAGAACTTTCTCCTGTGCATATAAATTTTTTTTCCAAACAGGAGCTTTTTTGATTGTGCGCCACTGTTCTAACGTATTTGACAACATGCAAGTTAGTGAATTTAGTAGTTTTAAATATCACTAGAAAGACTGACAGCATGCGTGGGGGAAGACTTTTGAAGGAGAAAGCATTTTATTATTCAGATTTAAATGGTACCAAAGCTGACTGGAGCAGAGTATTGTTAGATTTTTGTATCGTAAACCAGAATCTGAGCTTGGTAAAATATGTATTTATTTTAGTTGATGTCTTACTGTTTAATGGAAGAGTACTTATCAAATTACTGAAGCTAGCCCAGTGTTACCTGTGTTGTGTCATCCAGTGTTACCAGTGTTGTGTCATACAAACAATGCTTAATTTAAGGCTACCTGTCTTCAATTAAAGTGTAAAAAATTAAAATAATTTTGCTTATTTTAATAGAGTTTATTTTCTAATGATATTTGAAATGTTATGTCTGAACTCATGTCTGCTAAAACTAAATGCCATGTCTGCTTTCTCTTCCATATATTGGATTTAATCCAATTATTGAATTATTTTTATGTCTTAAAGCTAAGGGCTTTGTCGCACATTTTGCAAACACCTATTGAAGTAGTGCAGATGGATTCCCCTCCCATTATTGTTGGTGAAGAATATTCAGGCAAACCAATAATACTTGTGTAAGTATGTCATTCATCCCTTCTTAAAATTAATGCATTTATTTCTATAGCAGAGGGCTCAGCTTTGGTTCTCACCTGCTCTTTTATTTTCTGTTATGTGTCTGATACTGAAATACTGCTTGAATAATGATCTTGTGGGTCAGAAATTATGTTTGATTGACACAGTTTAAAGATATTGTAATCAGAATTCTTAAAATGCTGACAATCAGTCTGAAGTGTGATTCAGTCACTGCTTTATAGAAAGCTACAAGGTCATTTTACCTGTTAGATAATTACAGAATAATAGTGGAATTGATATAAGACGCAGCAGGAAACTATTTTTTTATCTTCAAGTTTATGTCAATCTGTGCCTGGAAGTCACCAGAATTAAAAACTGTTTTTAATACTCCTATTTAATGACCCTGTAATCTGTGCTAAAACTTGAATTTATTTAAGATGTCTTCCAGTGCTGTTAATGTTTGGCATGACATATACTTCTAGTTAAACTGAACACTAATTCTGTAACTTTGTTATTTTTTTAGGTATATGAGACATGCCTATGGATTAGGAGAACATTACAATTCTGTAAAACTTCTAACAGATGCTGCTACAGAAAATGGCAGCTAGCATACAAAAGTCATAAATCCACATGGATAACATTTGCATCTTGATGTGCTAGTCTCCAGACAATTCCTAGACAGACTGGAAAGTAAAACTAAATAGAATGGACTAAAAATGAAGGAAAAAAAAAAAAAAACAAAACAAAACCCAAACAAAAACAAACAAAAAAAAAAGGCAAAACAAATTTACAAGATTTGAAGATAAACCAGAAATAGCTCTTGATTTAAAATGAAACCAAAACTACACAACAGTATTTTTAACTTGTTGGTATGAATCATGTTTAGAAGATCTTCTCTAAAATGGTGGCTGTGTAGATCAGAATTTTTTTCTTAAATAGAGCTTCATCCCATGCTGCAGTGAAAATACTGAGTAGTAAATGTTTTTGTTAATCTGCATCTTTGCTGAAAAATTAAGGTTACCCAAAGGTTCCTGTTACATTATTTCTGGCAGGTTTTGATCATCATGTAAGAGTTAAGGCATTTAAAAGAATTGATTTTGATTGATGGAATATCCTTCACAGTGTTTATTTAGTTTTATCAGGATCTAGCTTTAAGGCTGTAGTAGGGATTCCCTTCTTTATTTGGGCAGAGAAAAGCTGGAGGCAAATCCAGAAGTAGAATATCCCGTTTGACTGAAAGACTTGCACAGTCTTTTTATTTTAAGGACTTTTATCTAAGATTTTTACCAAGGTTTGAGGAGTTCATTTTTTTTTTTTTTTGCTGTTGACAGTAGTAACTGAACACTTGATGCTGTTACCAGTACTGAATCTGTAAGAGCAGCATCGTTTATGACTATTCATCATACTACTGATGCAACTTAACCGTGCTGTTCATCCTTCGTAGTCTCTCATCTGTGCATTTCGATGATACAGAAATCTTACAAACAAAAAGCTCCTCCATGTCCTCACTTCAAGTAGTGAAACTCATCTGAAATAGTAATTTATGGATCTGCTGATCTAAGCACTTCGTGATCTGAAGTGTGATGTTTTATAATGCTTAAAACAGCTGGTTGCATACAGATGTGAAAATAACCACCTGGGTTTTGTCAATAACTTCAAAGGTGATCTGCAAAAGAATTATTTTCATTGCTCCATATGATGCACGTTGACTCAAAAGGTGGGTTTTTTCAAAATGGCTTGACTTTTTACATTAGAAATGTGGATTTTTGTCTTCAAGTCACCGTAAATGTGACTCCAAAATTAGCAGCATACTGAAACCAAAGTTGTAATGCAATTGTTTTTTAACAGTAGAAGTGATTATTTTATTTTCTTTAAAGCCTTAGTCAATAACATGATAATTTTATTTTAGTGCTGGTGAGTTGGCTTGGAGAAAAGCGGTTTATGTCAAGTTTAAACACCTTTGACTTTTGATTTGAGGATTATGACCTAACAGTGCATATCTTGTAATCCTTCTGTAAAGCTAGCCAGCGGATTGATGTTCCTGGGACTTAATAAATGAGAGGGAAAAATCTGTTTTTACTTAAGAAGAAGAAAATAAGTGTTCACTTTATGGATCAGATTATGTCTGATTTAAAGCACTTTGAGAGAGAGAGAGAGGGTTAAAAAAAAAATCAGACCATTATAGCAGGGGGTTTTGGACAAGCAGAACTTGAATTGTGACTTCCTTAGAATGGTGCCTGCCAGGAAAACAAAGTATTAACCAGATCAGGAGTTTTTACATCCTTATTTATCTGATACTGTATAGCAAATATAGCTGTATTTGTAACAGCTGGTTTACTGTAGAATTTGGTTTACTGCCTTGATTGTATAAAACAACAATGTTTTTAATTTCAAACCAAAAATCAGATACAATAGTATGGAAAAGTGTCTCTATCCATAATACCACTCTGAACTTCACTGAAAATAATAATCAGAAATAGTCTGTGTTGCTTAGAATTGGTGTGATATGAAATGCACATACTGCTTTTTATAGATACCCTGTGAAAAAAGTTCTTTGGTTTATTGAGTTTTCATTCTTGTTTGATTAACTATCAGAGAAAAGATGCCAGAATTGTGGAATGCCTATACCAACAGTTTGTCCTGTTGAAGATGTTTACAATTTGTATAAAGCGAGATAATGTTCTAATATTGTGAGTGAAAGATCCTTGCTCATGCTGTATGGGACTTGCCAAAAAGTAATAAATTGGTTTATTTGTGGCAGATTTTGTGGTGGTCACTTTTAATTTTGTTCACTTCTTAATTCCTCGTATTAATAAGTTTACGCATTTTTATGACTTTAGGATCCTACTATCGTATGAATTCCCCAATGACTGACCATTCATATTCAAGCAGACAAAGCTTTACTCCTTATGAAATTAAAGTTGTTTCTATATGAATTTTATCCTCAGCATTTTGGTGGTTAAATTGAACTCTTCTGCAAAGCTGTATTTGAAAATACGCTTAAACTTCTCCATGCATAGGAATAATCGAGTGAAACTGAGACTTTTTTTTCAGAATGTAGCTTTTAACTGCTTTGTTGGATGGCATTTTCTTTGCAAAATAACACTACTTTATTTTGAGTCGATAAGTATTAAGTAGATTTTTCCGCTTTTACCTGCAATGCATTGACATCAGTTTTCAGCCACTTTTTTAAATGCTGTTAGTCGGCTTTTTTTGCAAGACTAATTGAGGTTGGCCGGGCTGGGCCTTGCCTCGCTGCCACAAGAAGCGTTTAGCGTTTGTCCCCTTCACATAATTGGTACCTGCCCTCTGCTCCCCGCCCCCCATGTCCCCAGTAGTGCTGGAAGGCAGCTGAGTGGCAGCGGGAGGGATTGCAGGCCTGTCCTAAATTATTGAAACTTTCCACTACTGTAAGGATTTCTTTATTTAAAAGATGTAATATAAAATGCAGTGAAGCAGTGATGTTCCTTGTGTGTGTGTGTGTACAGTTCTCATAACATGTTGTGTTCAGGTGTGTTAAAATACTACACCAAAGCTAAAACATAGTGAAGAAGGGAATTTGTTTCACAACCACTTGTCTCCAGGCAAAATTGTCACCAGGGGCACTTTCTGCCTCCTGCCCCTCCTCTGTCCTTCCTGTGTCTTTTTTTAATAGGCAGTTCAGCAGAAGCTGTGACAGGCCCCAGGTTAAAAACAAGGCTGAAATTTTGGGTCTTGTCATGGTTTGAGCTCGGAGGACAGCTGAGCACCACACAGCTGCACATTCTTCCCTTCCACCCTAGCACTGAGAAGGAGAAAATAAGCCAGGCTTGGTATTTAAGATAGGACAGGGAGGGATAAATCACCCATTATAGTCATGGGCAAAAGTCAGACTTGCTAAGGGAAGGAAAAAAAGAACACAGATTTATTACAGACACTAGAAACAACACTTGACGGACAGAGTAGGTGTCTTGGTTTGGGCTGAAATAGAGTTAATATTCCTTTTCAGGGACTAGATGAGTGCTGTGTTTTGGATTTAGCTTTGGGTTTGGTATGGGAAAAATGCTGATAGCACACTGGTGTTTTCAGCTGCTACCGAGACTTCAAGGACTCTCCGACTCCCCATGTCCTACCCGTGCGCAAGGGCACAGGGAGCAGGGAGGGAGCACGGACAGAGCACCTGACCCTAACTGGCCAGTGAAATATTCCATATCATGGAACGTCATGCTCACTGTATAGAGGAGGGGTGGTTGGGAAGGGGCTCTCTCTCTCTCTCGCTTCTGGGATTGTGATTGTGGGATCTTGGTATCTTGGGGTCGCCGGCCGGGAACGGGCTGGGTATTGGTTAGCGGGTGGTGAGCAATTATGTTGTACATTGCCTGTTTATATATGTCTTTTTGTTTTTCCCCTATCATCGTTATTGTTCTCGTTTTATTGCCATTATTAAACTGTTCTTACCTCAGCCTGCGAGTCTCCGTTCACCCCTCTAATCCCCTCCCCCATTCCCAGGTGGGGAGGGGGAAGGGAGGGTGATTAGCTGCGGGGGTTGGTTGCCGATCAGGCCCAAACCACAACAGTAGGACAGTGAGAAGCATTGCCACATCTTGAGAACACCTTCCCCCCACCCCTCCCTTCTTCCCGGGCTCAGCTCTGCTCCCGATATCTCTACCTCCTCCCCCAGTGGCGCAGGGGCAGGGAATGGGGGGTGCAGTCACTGCTGCTGGTTCTTCCATCTTTGTGGGGGGAGCTTCTGGAACTTGTTCCCCCTGCTCCATTGTGGTCCCCCTCTCACAGGAGACAGTCCTCCACAAACTCTCTGACGTGAGTCCCTCCCACGGCTGCAGCCCTTCCCAAGCTGCTTCAGGGTGGGACACCCCCGCATGCTTCAATCTTCCCAGCACTGAACTGCAACAGCGGGGGCTGCTTCTTCTCACAGGGTCCCAGCTGCCTTTGGGCATCGTGACTGTAAATGGTGCATGTGAGACCCTTCTCAGGCCATAAATCAGTGTCTGCTCCACAGTAGAACTTCATGGGTGGCAGGGGGGGGCCGCCCTGCCGTCTCACCACAGGATACAGGGGGGTCTCTGCTCCGGCACACCTCCCCCCTCCTTTCTTCCTCTGTTCCTCCACTGACCTTGGTGTTCATGCAGCTGCTGTAAATCCTTCTCACAAGCCTGACTCCTCCTCACCAGGTCCCTTCTTAAATATGTTATCGCAGAGGTACAGCTGATGGGATTGGCCTTGGTGCAGAGGTGGCTTTGAGAATCTTCTCACAGGGGTCACCCCTATAGCCCCCTCCCTGCTACCAGAAAACAAAAGCCACCACTCACCAGGACAGGTGTATGCAGAGCGCATGGTCTCAGCTCAGACTCGTGTCTCAAGGAAAAATAGGTGCTGGCAGAGTTGTGACTGGGCAGATCTGATACTGTGCGATGGTGTGTGCCCCCTTCTGCTGTGCTATGCTCAAGTGTAATGCTGTTATGAATTACAAAAGTGAGAATTATCGTAGCTACATGTGCTGTAGAGGCAGTTGGAGTAGGGGCATTGCCTCTTGCATTTGGTATCGGGGCTATGGGTTTTGCCCAGCTCTCCAACCTTCCTCCTCCACCAGCACTGGTCACTTGGCAGCTTATTAATCACTGGTGTGACAGTTGAGTGAGCAGAGCTAGGCAGTGTCTCTTTCCTAAACGATATGGGTGGTTGCAGTGCAGACAAGCTGTGGTGTATAGAACATATTTGGTGTATAGAACATACATATGGAGGTCCTGATCAGACATACTGCTGGATAAGTAGCATCTTCAGGGGTGCAACTGCCTTTATGCCAAAAGACTGAATGCTGAGTGCCCTGGAGATACCCCAAAGGCTGTGGTGAGAGTGGATGTCTGAATATGCCATCTGCATTGTCTGGGTAGTCTACAAGGCAATGCTTTGGTCTGTGACAAGTATCCTGTGTTGATGACTTAATCTGTGTAAGTAACTGAGGAAACTTAAAAATGGGATCTGAAACATGGAAGACATTTTCTGGCCTTTTCTTGGCTTCAGTAAGAGCACTAACCCACGAATTCCTTTGTTTTGAGAGACTAATAAAAGCAGCAGATGGGTTCTGATTAATCACTAGAGGCATATGGTATATGTACTTATGAATACAACTAAAATCCCTAGTGAATTCCTCCATATGTTATAAACAGGTATACCATAAAAAGAATTGTTCGTACACACAAAAATCTTAATGAAAATTACGAATAAACTGATGTAATCTCTACATTCTAGATTAAATAAATACATCAAGGTGTTGATTGAAAAGCTTTATCCACTTCACAAACTAGAAAACTTGGAGTGCATAATCTTAAACAGTAACAGAAAAAAATATTCCTAGGGAGCTACGTTTTCTGAAAAAGCTTCCTGAACTTCATCAGTCCTGAAAATGTTTTCTCATAATATCTGAAGAGATTAGATACATGAAGAGCCTGAACATGCTGTGTTTTTCCAGAAACAAACTTAAAGACTTTCCAGATGTAAGTAATGCTGGTTTATGATTTTTAAAAGCTTTTTTTTTTTACTTTTTTCCTTTTGGAGAATGTCTTATGAAAACTTTTGAGCAATATATCTTTTTTTTGAAATTATTACATAAGACATGAAAATGCACTTAATTGCATTCTGGATGATATTTGAATGCTCTTTTGAGGAAGCTAAGAATGTGGAGATTTTAAAATAATGTTTCTTCCTTATATACATGTGTATCCTATAAAACTCAAAATATGAATGAAACCGCAGCAGTGTAAATAGGCAGTAGTTTGTTGTTACATCCCAGTAAGGCTCAACTGAGTTGTGAAAGAGCAAAGGATGAAAGATGGTGTATTTCCTAAAGAACAATTTTTCTCTTAGCTGTGTGCAGAATGTTGGAACACAAAAAGCCAAAAGCAGAATAGGGAAGGTTGTTCCTATAACTGGGGATACCTGAATGAAATGCACAAAATTATCCAGGCTAAGAAGAGTGAGGCGAGAGAGAATATGAATGAGAGCTAGAATAGCTGCAGGACTAGCCAAGCAGAGAGATGACTAATTAAGCTAGTAGCCTGTTTTCCAGAAACAAAACATGAGCTGCACAGGTAGGTTGTGTGTTATCCACAGCATCTCTTCCTATGCTAAAAAGTATTTCTAAAGGGGGAGGGAAATGAAGGTAAGGGTTTTTGTAGCTTTTACTGCTTTTTCTAGCTCATAACTTAATATATGAAAAATATCAATATACATCTTTGTACAGGTCTTCCTTTTGTGTGTCTTTACACCTCATTTGCTTCTGAAGATTTGCAGTGTGTAACCAGCAGCCTCAAACATTCAGGACTTGATGAGCTCCCTGAAAGACAGCTGTTTTGTAGCTTCACTGGAAGACTTCATTGCACCTTCTTCACTGGTTGGTGGAACTGTGGATTGCTTCTATGAATTTTTAAACATTTAATGTGTTTTAATCTCTGATAACATATATTTATCAGTATTTGGCATACTGGGTTTTATGTCACTGATTTAGTTGCAGCATTTGCTGTCTGCTTGATCTGCTGCTTGAGTATGTTATCCATCTGCTTCAGAACATTTTTTTACAATTTTTGCAGACAACTGCAGACTGAGAGTCAACATGGAGATCTTTGAGAAAATCTACATGGGACAAGAAGCTGCGGAATGTAATGAATGAATGCTTTAAATCTAACTTGAAAAACTGCTCATCAGTAAAAACAATAATGAAAAGACTCTTAAGGAAAATTACCCTGCTGATATTGCAAACCTTT